GCCCCCCCACGTGGTGGATTTGTACAAACTCTGCCCATCTATGCAGGGGGGCACCTAACCCCAAATACCCCCCGGGGGAGGTGGGGGGGGGAGGAGTTCCACTCATCTTAAAGTGGCCAAGTTTGGACAACACTGACCTAGGTAGATGACTTCCAGACAGCCCCCATTCTCAAGGGTGGAGCTCAAACTTGACTTTATTCGCTACATTTCAGTGGGAAGAACTCCTTTTCATAAGAATGTTGTTTTCCACCAATACTCCACCTGTATTGGCGGGGCCAGTCCTGATGACACTCAGTTCATTTTATTTTTGTGGTAGCACCTTGCATTTGGGACTGTGTGTATCCCATGAATAGCCTGACTTAAGTTGTTGAATGGTGCCCTTTCAAGTTACATCAAGTCATCCAAAGATTGTGGCACGTATTCCCAAAGTAGAATATCCAAGGCCAGCCAAGTTCATTTGGCATCTAAGGCACTTCCTTTCATCTCTGGCAAGAAAAACGCAGAATTTCTAAACCCTGCCTTTTCATGTCACAATCAGCGGCCTGAACCACCTGCCTTTCTGGGCCCAATGATATGGCCATCTGAAAGTAGATTTCATGATCTTTAAATGCTGTTCTCTAGGAAGGAAAAAAAACTATGCAAAGAAGATAAGGGTATGAAAACATTCCCTTCTGATGTGCTATTTCTGTAGGTGTAGGTAACCGTCATAATCATTCACAAGTGATCCTTCCTGAGGTTTTCAGGTTGGTTGTATTTCAACAATTGAAATGTGGAAGAACTTGACAGACTTGTTGAAAAAGTTGAAAAACTTTTACCTTAAGAAAGGTTATCAGACATAGGAACTTCTGGAACTCTAGCTCCAGAGCACCTTTAATGTTTAAACTTTAAACTGTAGCTCTACTACAATAGGGCATCTCTTTAAGCCTTTCCACACTTGGCCCTCTCCAAATGCCATCTTCACAGTTGATAGGGTTAAGCTTTCTTGTTATCTATTTTTTGTAAGCATGACAATATAAACCATTGAAAAATGAACGCCTAATTTGGCCCTTATGGTCTTCCATAATCATTAACATATTCTGATCCCCACTGTGTGAATATCAATTTCCATCGCATTACTGGTTACCTCATGACCATATGGGTTGGGCAGAGGATGGCAACTGTAAACATGCCGGGAGTCTTTGCAGAGAAACTCTGTGATTTGTGGTGGGGCAAAGTGAGACCTGGGTAGCATCTGAAATCAACACAGGCTTAGACAGGCTGCATGGAATGGAAGCATGAGAAGGTGAGTAACTGGGAGATGGCTTACTTGTTATCTCGATCCTTGTTAATGAAGGAAACACGATTTATTTCATTTTGTCTGAGTCTGTCTGGAACTCCTGTGAGGGAGACAGAAAAGAAAGTTACATCGGTGACCACCAAGGACCTAGTAGAGTTAGAGAATGGAGAAGAAAGATACTGATTGACTTTGTGGGCATCTTATGGCTTTCTTTCCCATAGCGACCCATGACAGAAAGAGAGAGAGGGAGGTACAATATAATAAAAATGAAAACATTTTTATTTAGCTGTTTAACCTTCCCACTTGCTGATTTATTATTTTTTTTTGTTTCCTGCTGGAGTGACTTGCTCCTCAGGGTTGGGCCTCTGGGAAAACAAAATTAGGTTAAAATGGCCTTTAGGAATAATTACCAAGGGAAAACCAGTGGATGGGGGTGCTAGGGATAAACAGACCCCATTTCAGGTCAAGTTTGGAAGTTTTCTTTTTCATAAATCAGCTCTGTTCCACTTCTGTTTCAAGCTGCAGTGTTTTGAAAACAACCTTGCAAAAGTTTGGTTTAAAATGCAGTTTTTAAAGTATAGTTTTTCAGCAGAGATGTTTTCCTAAACTGATTTGTTCTCCAACCATGCATTTGTAGAGGTAGTTTATCTCAAAAAACTCACATAGCACTAAATACTTAAAACTTTTTTGAGCCAAATGCTCCAAATCACAAAATTTAGAGGTGAAATTCCAAAAATAGCTATATTCCAGAGAGTTCTAGTGAGAAAAGTGAATTCCTCAAGCAGTTCTAGAGGGAGGAAGAATAAAACAGCCTTGCCCAACATGGGACCAGGTGCCAGAATTCTGCAGATCCCAGAATTCTAAGAAAGCATAGGAATTCTGGGAAATGCAGTTCCAGCCCATCATGTGGGTATCATGTTTAGGAAAGTTGGATTAAAAGGTTAGGCACCCACTTCTTGGAAATCTTGAACTGTTACTACTGATGTTTGCTGCCAGAAATATGGCTTCCTTACTCCTACCCAACAGAAGGCTTCCTGTGAGCTATCTTTATGGGATTCTGCTGACCTTTAATGCAAAGTTGAGTGCACCGAAGTGCATTGTCATGATCCCGCAACATGTAGTGAAAATCCTCCCAGGTGAGCTCCTCCTTGTCCTGGAATCCTGATTCTTTGAACAAGGACTCAATGACCTGCTCGGTCTGATCCCGTGAGAGGCAGTTGTTAGAAACCTCAATGAAGGACCTAGAGCAGGAGATAAGAGGAGATAAGTCTTAAGGAAATAAGACTTCTGGGTAATCAAAGAGTCCATGGCAAACTCTCGCATGAATGGAAGGACCGTGGTTGATGGCACTTCTATTTCACTCATGACTCAGATGAACTGAACAAATTCAGTGGGTTGGGTGGGGGCACTGACTGAGCTTGGATTGAAATGAGCCCAGCCCTAATCTGCACAGCTAGAGAATTATTTTCCACATGGCTTCAGTTCCTCCAAAATGCTGGGCTGTGGGTTATGAGGTTGAGTTTCATTGTCAATGTCAACATTCCCCAAGATGTATACAGACTGAATTTCAGGTGAGGAAATGACCTGAGGTGCAAGATAGCATTTTAGCAAATGGAAGGTTCTGCTGAAATTCCAGCATCTCTCCACCAAGGATGAGTTACAATAACAAAAGCCAACATCCCATGCCCAAACCAGCAGAAGATACCTCAGCATCCGAAAGAATTCTTCCTTTGAAAGGAAGCCATTTCCATCTATATCATACATGGCAAACATCAGTTTGGACTTCTCCTGTGGAGATCCTGGTTGAGAGAGGTAGAGAAGAACACAGACCATGCATCATAAGCACAATTCATTGTACAGCCCCAATTATTTGGAGAGATCCTCAAAGTCCATTTCTTGATCTTGTTGACAATCAGAAAGGAAGGAAAGTTCTGAGATTATCAGTGTGGAGAGGATTCAGGAAATAGGTGGAGATAAGATAGAAAGGACTTGGTTGCAGCTACTCAAAAGTTCATGGACTGTGGTGATGGCTGTTCATAAAATCACACCATCTGGAAGTTCATCATGTTGGTTGAAAGGCTAATGCAATCCCCCCAGCTCCTATGGACCAAGACTGAGTTTCTGCTAGAGGTCTCTGCTATAATAGTGGCATCTACCTCCAGTCCTTGTTTTAGGTTCTCAAGGAGGATGGCAAAGGATCCTGCTCCCTCCCAGCAGTCCCACCTGTTTGTTTCTGGAACTGAAGGGAAAGATCTCTATTGTCTCCTATCTATCTTCAGCATCAATGGTTGGATAAACTGGTCTAATATCAACATTTATATTTTAGTTGAGGACCAAATATTAGGGCTGCCTTCACACAACATGCTTGACATGGTTACTGAATTAACCCATTTCCTCAGGTTGCACAAGTCATTGAACCATAAACAAATTAAACAGTCTGGATTTGCATAACACACAGCGCTACCCAAAAATAAAATATAAAAAATAAAATACAAATCTTAGCCAGGTTTAATGCAATCTAAACTTAGCCTGTTATAGAAATGCAATGGTAAATCTACCTGATCTAGTAAAGTGTATCATATGAACACAACAGGTTGGTGCCAGATTGACTGTGGTTAACTCCATCCCAACCCTTACAGTTGAATAGTTGCAAGTTTCACCTTTCATAAAGACCACCAAGATGTCCAGGAATTCCCGGAAGGAGAGATACCCATTCCCATCTTTGTCGGCGAGAGAGAACATGGAGTCCACAAATACAGACTGGGGTTTGAGGCCCAGGGCATCAGCAAACTCTGCCCGGCTCAGCTCACATTTTAAGGCTTCCTTGGCTTTTTGAGATGTTTCCAAGCTGAGTTCTCCAGCATCTAATCTGTCAATGTTTAGAACCTGAAAGCATAAGACCAATGATCACATTCCCAGAAGGAAGGAAGTCCACTCACTTTCCATCAGTAAGATAAGACACCGTAAGCAAAACTAGGATCTTTCTTGCTTTTGCTGTCCGATCATGCAAGTATGACTTAACATTCACTTACAAGAGGAGGTTCGGTCTACATTTCAGTCATTCCGACAGTTGATAAAATCATTTGGTTAGGCAACATTACAAGTTGACTTTATTGTCCAGCAGTATACATATGCAATATTTTCCAACTTTCAAATAAAAGAAAGAAACAATTGTTTAAGATGGTACAAGACTCCTTTGACATCACGCTTTGGCAATAAGTCTCATGGATAACATCTATTCTGTAACTTTTTTTTGCTTAGTGAGTTCAGCTTTCCTGTGTAAGCATTGGGGGGCAGTAGTTAGAAGACTGGTTGCAGATGGTGAGAGATCCCACCGTGGGTAAGAATCTCATTGAGAAATCTCCAGTTCCTCACTGCCTTTAATTTAACTCACAAAGGAGTTGTGAAGAGTAAAACAAAAAACAAAAAAACCTGAGTTAAATGTGAGAAGAGAATGAAAACAATAATGGTGACACTATGGAGGAAAATGGAGTTTGCAACCTGGCTTCACCTGGTGGGGAGGGGGAGAGGACATTAAGAAGGTAGACCAGCTATATAAAAGTTGATAGTACTGTTTGCACAAGCCCCTTAAAACTATTAAATTGAGTGGGTTGAACTCAAGGAGAAGAGAAGTAATTACCAACACTGGGGGATTGTGAAATCCTTGGCCATGTGCATAGATGCAAAACAGAACAGAGATTTGGTTAATGTTGACCTTGTAGGAGGAGAACCATGTTAGTCTAAGGTGGCCAAAAATCCCAAGATGTCTGGTAGCACCTTTTCAGGCTAACAAAATTTATTAAAAGGCATGAGATCAAAGTTTATGTGGTTTAAAAAACCACAATTAGTCTAGAAGTGCTACAAGACTCTTTGGATTTTTGGTGAAGTCCTGACCATTTTCTATCCTAAACCTCAGTGCTGCAACTGTAAGGCATAATGTGTATGGGTGAACTACCCAGTTGATTTCCATAGAAGAACTGATAGCAGCATATCACTGAAGTTTATTTGTTGAACATCACTATCTTTTCATCCTTGTTGGAGAAGGAGAAGGAGAAGGAGAAGGAGAAGGAGAAGGAGAAGGAGAAGGAGAAGGAGAAGGAGAAGGAGAAGGAGAAGGAGAAGGAGAAG